TTACTTTGCGTTCAATCGATAAGTACAGTAGTACACGTGTAAATTTAGATTTTAGTTTGCGTTCAATCGATAAGTACAGTAGTACACGTGTAAATTTATATTTTACTTTGCGTTCAATCGATAAGTACAGTAGTACACGTGTAAATTTATATTTTACTTTGCGTTCAATCGATAAGTACAGTAGTACACGTGTAAGTTAGAATTTTACTTTGCGTTCAATCGATAAATACAACAGTACACGTGTAAAGCACAGCGAATTAGGAAATCTTCAAGATCTTTTTCTTGAAACTGGTTAGGTGTTTGTATGTATATTATATGTAATATTAAAGCCACATAAAATAAAGGGGACTTGGGAATAAAAGCCTGTTTTTTGTTCGTCACCTGTATAAACACATAAAAACATTAGGGAGGGTCATTTCAAATGTGAAAGTTCAACTTTTCTAGACGAGTTGAGCGAACAACAAAAGCTTTTTTTTACAACGAAGATTGTAAAAATACGTTTTTCACTGTTGGCTGTCTTCCTTTCTTTTCTGAGATGTTTGATCTTTTCTACATTCCATATTGACATCATTGCAATAAAATGTTCTCTTAAAAGTGCCAGGCGTCGTGTCCCTATTCCTAGTGCGAGTAGGTCCGCTTTTATTTTCTAGTTAAACTATTAAAAATAATTCTTCATTTATAATTCGTTTACTCTTCACAAAAAATATTAATGGCTTTCAATATAAATACAATGAACTGAATCTGGCATCCTTTTACGATTTTTTTTTCTTTTTTAAACGTGTACTATCTTTGTCCCCGGTGGGACAACAGTAAGTCTTCTGACTTACAACGCTAAAATTAGGGGTTTGATTCTCCTCGGTGGAAACAGCAAACAGCCCGATGTGGCTTTGGTATAAGAAAACTCACACACACACGAACTCCATGTAAGTACTCATTGTTCCAAAATGCTCAATACAAGTAGCCTCGCCTCATACAAAAACATCAGATATTAAAGATACCAGTACATTATCACGGATTGAATTATCTCTGCGTAACTAATCTAAATATCAGGGGATTTAAGAGTAATAACCTATTTAAATAAAGTCAGAGGGGCCAAAACTAACGTTTGTGAGTAATGTTAAGAATTTCAATTTATTAAATTTCTCATATTATCTCAGCATATTAGACTGGCCGCTGAATAAATTTCAACAATAACATCCGACTACATATATAGTCCCAGGCAACATTTTATATGTTTTCTTCCTTCCACTTTTATTGTTTATAAGATTATTATGAGTTAATATAAGAGTTATTCTATTTATTTTTGGACGAGTTTTGCACTAATATTTAATACTATTTTTGGAAATTTAACACAGATACACGAAGAAATAATCTATATGAAATATAATCATTTCAACTCCTCGGAAAAAAAACATGGGTGAAACATTCATTCGTGTTATATGTAGTTTTTCTCATAAGTAATTTACCCATAGGGGAGAGAGCGTGGGTGGTATTCGGTTTGGGAATTATGGGTTTGAAGCATGCTATATACAAAGATGGACGCATTCAAATGAACTCATCCTAACTAGCTTGTGACAACAACAACAACAAAAAAGAACATCTTTGAGAAACGTTCTTTCTTCCTTTATATATGTTGTAACCAACTCTCATACACAGATGCATATCAAACCGTTGAAATATACTCTCCCTTAGTATAAACAATATGAAGCTAAAGCTAAAAGTACAAATACTTATTAGATTTTTAATATCAATACCATAACTCAATAGACAATCATATTAAAGTCTATGACAATTAATTTAATTGTTGTCAGATATTAGAATTGGGTTTATTATATTTATCAACACTGCACATCTAGATTGTTTGAAGTTAAACATAAAGCAATACAATGGGCTATCTGTGCTCTGCCCACCACGGGTATCGAAACCCTGATTCTAACGTTGTAAATCCACAGACATACCGCTGTACCACTGGGGTGCCTGTATTCGACGAATGTATAATAATAGTTTTCCACCCACACTATTTTCATTGCCGATGGCGCGTTTCGCTTCATCCAAAGCTCTTCACGTCGGCTGGGACACAACAAACATAGAAATGATCCGAACACTACTTACAGAAGCCATTTGTTATAACAACATTTATTACGGTATGAACGCCTTTTACAAGCTGGCGAAGCATGATTACAATTTATTTACTGTCATCAGACATTAGTGTTAGGCCTATTACGTTTCAACACCGTATTCTATATCTAGTCACTTGGGGGATTTTCAAAAATTAGAAGAGTGTATTATAATAATAATATTTCAACCACACTATGTTCGTTATATATCCATTGCTGACGACGCAGTGTTAAAAATATAATAGCCCTAATAATAATGTGTGATGACAAGTAAATTAATTGTATTTATGCTTCGTTACTTGAAAAAGGCGTTCATTTCACACCATAACAACAGCAGTTGTAACAAATGCTTGTATAGATAGTGTTCAGACCACTTCTGTGTTTTTTGTCTATCAGCCGTCTTGATGAGCTCTGTATTGAGCGAAACGCGTCGCCGGTAATGGATATTTTGAATACAGTATGGGTGGAATACTACCAAGAAAAAAAAAAAACACGAGTTATTCGCTCCTAAGATCCATAAGGCTTAACAATACACAAAATATGGATATACTTACAAACGTTTGTTCATTCACATTAATGTGCATCCAACAGCATAAACTAATGGATGTTACAATAATATTAATGGAAATTTCAAGAGTTTTTTTTCTTCATCGTATTATCCTACACATTGTATTTTAATCAGTTTTGCATCCATTATTGAAAAGTGGTAAACGAGAGTTACAGTTCTTTTGAATGCGGTTTTTGAACGACTCAAACAGCTAAAAAGAGAAGGATCGATAGTAATGGAGTGAAAACTGCCTACTATACATTATCGACCACTACTTTTGTGGAAAAGCCACAATAAATTTCCTCTACGATGGTAGTATGACTATTAATAGCACATGAAAATAGCAATCTAATATATATTATATATATACAATGTAGGAACTTTGTCCATTAGCAACATAGTTGTTTTGTATCTTATAATTTGGTGTAATATTGGCGATTTACCCATTTCAAAAAATTTTGTAATTTATTTTTGTTTACTCAATATTTTTAACTACCTTTTCTAAATTTCCAGATGGAGTTACTCAGTTAGCGTTGTGTTTCTGTGTGTAGTTAATGTGTACTGATAGAAACTATAAGATCTAAATAATTTGTTGGATTTGTGTGTTGTCAAAAAAATTAATTAATTAGTTTCTGATGGGCGGAGATCTGATCTCTAGTCCACAAATAAAAAGTTAAAGTTGCGATTGTGTATATTATTAATATGTTAGACATATTTGTTTATCATATACATATATTATCATATACATCTTATACAAATGTTTAAACTTTTTCAACACCTGATAAACCTCAAGGTAGATGGTGTTGTTCGTCAACTCTTGTTTAAAACGTGATCACTCAAAATCGTTTTTTCACAACGTTGATCGTGGACACTGCACTAAGAGATATTATATACCAACATCAAAAAGTGTTTTCAGTCGTCATGTGAAACTATAGAATATCTTAACTTGCAGATTAATAAGGCATGTCTCCTCAATTTCCTTGTCAGTTTAAACTTGCTAACTTCAACTGTCTATCCTCCTCAACTTCCTTGTTAGTCTTAACTTGTGACATTGGTTAAAATAATAACAATGTATAAAATATCAACATAGCTATTTTTTGTTTCATCAAGGAACACAAACATTTCTTTCTAATATGGCGGCGAAGAAATTTATCATTTATTAATTACGAGAGATAGTTTGTCCAATAGGAATTTGACTTTCGTTATCGAACTAGTAAAGGTGCTTTTTTCTGGAAAATGTGAGAAAAACTAGACGTAAAATCTTAATCAATCTATTAATTAGAGAATATATAGAAATAATAATTATGTAAGACAATTGTTACCATTGTAACCACATCAATTATGTTTAAGATACAAACTTGTTGAGGTTGGCAAGTTTAGACTAACAAGGAAGTTGAGGAGGATATACAGTTGACGTTAACATGTTTAGACTAACAAGGAAGTTGAGGAGGATAGAAAGTTGAGGTTGGCAAGTTTAGACTAACAAGGAAGTTGAGGAGGATATACAGTTGAGGTTGACAAGATAAGACTAACAAGGAAGTTGAGGAGGATAGACAGTTCAGATTGGAAAGTTTAGACTAACAAGGAAGTTGAGGAGAATAGACAGTTGAAGTTGGCAAGTTTAGACTGACAAGGAAATTGAGGAGGATATACAGTTGAGGTTGACAAGTTAAGACTAACAAGGAAGTTGAGGAGGATAGAAAGTTGAGGTTGGCAAGTTTAGACTAACAAGAACGTTGAGGAGGATAGAAAGTTCAGATTGGAAAGTTTAGACTAACAAGGACGTTGAGGAGGATAGACAGTTCAGATTGGAAAGTTTAGACTAACAAGGACGTTGAGGAGGATAGACAGTTCAGATTGGAAAGTTTAGACTAACAAGGAAGTTGAGGAGGATATACAGTTGAGGTTGTTTTAGCATTAGAGTTCAATATAAGTCTTCTGCAAAGATCGAGACAGTTTGTTTCATGCTTGTTAAGAGTAGGGTTGTAGTGTTAAATATGATTAAAACGTAATCACTGGAAATTGAATCCTGTTTGTGCTGCGTGTTTGCGGCGTATATAGGTTCGTTGAGAAGGAGTTACAGAGCGATATGCTTCGAATCTTACACCAGCATAATAATTTTGCTGTTCATTTTAAATTAAAATTACGTCAGGATGTAGTTGAGTATCAAAAAAGTCAAGAAAACATTTGTTTTATTTCAGTATTCTTCACAAGGCTACACAAAGAGTTATTTGCACACAGACGTCCCTATTTTGAATTGATGAACTAGACAGAGGCGAGACAGCTAGTCAATAGCACCCACCGTCTGATCAAATAGTAGGATTTGACCGTCACTCTTATAACGCATCCACAGGTCCAAAGTGCGTAGAGCGTTTTTGCCGCAGCGGGCTGCGAACCTAGAACCATCAAATTCACAGTTACTAGGCTACGCATAATCCCCCAAAATAGGGGTAACTGAAACGGAATCATGAAGAGTTATTAATATAAAAGTAACATAAAATATGATCGTGTATTGTATTAATAATACTGGCGTACATACGCATATGTCAAGGATGCAAACTGTAAACACATAATCTGTTAATAACGTAAATAAATTCTCATGTTGGCACCCATAAGGCTTAAAAGGTTTGGTGATAAATGTTAGCCAAACTCTATTCTTTTTTTTCTTTTATCTATAGTGTCTTTAATTTAGTAGTATTAACTTTGTTTAATAGGCCAACTTTTATACAGCTGATCTGGATCTTCGTTTCCCTATTTCAATTCTTCAGTATCTGAGATCCGATTATGGTAGCTTGCGTATTTAAGCACACCAAAATTTACGTATTGGATAATACGTCAGGAATCCAGTAAGAAAATATTACTTTTGTCGTAACACGTCAGTATAATTATATTACGTAATACATCAAAGGTCCAATTAGGGAAGGTTACTTGTCGGATTACACCAAAATTTATATATTGGATGATATATAAGAAGTCCAATTAGGATAGGTTACTTTTTAATCACACCAGTATGTATATATTAGATAATACGTCATCAAAGTAAGAAATGTTACTTGTCGGATTACACCAAAATTTATATATTGGATGATATATAAGAAGTCCAATTAGGATAGGTTACTTTTTAATCACACCAGTATGTATATTTTAGATAATACGCCATCAAAGTAAGAAATGTTACTTGTCGGATTACACCAAAATTTATATATTGGATGATATATAAGAAGTCCAATTAGGATAGGTTACTTATTTAATCACACCAGTATGTATATTTTAGATAATACGCCATCAAAGTAAGAAATGTTACTT